TGGGCACCGGGTGCCCCTGCACCGACTGGCTCCTGCCTTTCCTGCCACCTGTGGAAGGAAGCGCGACACGTGGTCATTGTCATGGTGGGGGTCGCGGCGCGGGGGTGCAGGCGGCTGAGAACCCAGGGCAGGCCACCACCTGCGAGGCCGGGACGAGAGCAGGATGCCCAGGGACCGAAGGGCCAACCAGGGGCACCAGCAGCCCAAGGGCAGGGGAGCCAGGTGACCCACACACCAGGTTGGCCCGGGACTCCCCTGGTTTTAGCACCCAAAGTCCCGCCTCCCTGGAAGTCCCTCGATGCGGGCAGCCTGGGAGGACACCAGCAGCGTCACTTGGCCTTGTAAAGCAAATCCAGCTGTGTTCCTGGTGCATGATCTTGATTCTGTGCTCTGATAAGCAGCGATAAAGGAAAAGATGCAGGCTTTTGTCATCTTTAGTGACCTTGAAAAGGGGGGGAAAGGCGGGGTGGCTGTTTGAACCACATGCTGGGGACTTTGTTTTCTAGAACAGTTTTCTTTTGAGATCAGGGTCTTCCAGGTGAAGCCCACGGTCATTGGCCAGGCCCAGGCTCCTGTGGGCTTCTCGCCTTGCGTGGCCCCAGCTCCTTTTTCGGGCCCTGTCCCTACCTCAGGGCCCATCGAGGCCCCAGCTCTTGCTGAGACTTGTCAAGACAAGGCCATTTCGACAAAAGGGATTGGACCGTCCCAAAGATTCGGTCCTACCCGCACCTCTGGAAGAGGGAAAACTTCAAGAGGGTCTTCAGTCTTTAGCTTCATGAACTGAGCAGCTGCAGTGAGAACCGGTGCTCGCTGGCACGGTGGATTGCTGAACCAAAGCGTCAGTAATCACTAGGGCCTGATCTTAAAATATGATTTTGATGGCAGCAGCTAGTGGCAGCACAGTCTCCCGGGGGGCAGAGGCACGGGTAGCAGGGGGACCGTCCTGTGCATTGCCTCACATCCCAACTCACCCCAAATACCTGAATCATTCATGTGCAGCTGGGGACTCCAGAACATGTACCTGTGTCCGTAGGAGAACCCCAGAAGTGACATGCTGCTTGAGAGGTGACTCTTAGGAGACAGACGTCACTAGGGAGAGTCCAGTGGCCTGTTGGCTGAAAGGGCACTTCCCCCTGCGTTGACCACAGTGCTAGTTTGGGTGCCACTTCCAGAGGCCACCTCACTTCCTGTTGCCCGTATGTCCTAAACGAGGCACCTACCCGCAGTGCCACACGTGGCCCCACAGGCTGATGAGCGTGCCCTGCCCTGGCCGGGGCCATCCAGCTCTGTGGCAGGGGTGGACCCCGGCCTGCCCACAGGGTCCCTGCTGAGAAGTGGGACATGCTGCTCTTACAGAGAAGAACAAGGGGGAAAGAGATCCTGACGAATCGTAATTAGGAACGGCGATAGTGATTTGTTCGTTATGCAGAGTCTGGCAGCCATACGTCTGTTTGTGGTTTCTGCCGCAAGGCTGATCGCTGTCCAAAGCTAGTCTGCGTTCATGCACCCGTCAGTGATGTGAAGCCAGACAGATGACCACCCATACCTAGTGCGGGGCTGCCCAGCTAACTCCAGCAACGAGAGGACAGAGCCCCTGGGCGTGTCGAAGGTAGTGGCCTGTAGTCGGTGCCATACCAGCCCCACCCCAATGTCATGGCTTCAGATTTCCTTGAAGCTTTTTTCTTGTTGCTGTTGATTTTTTAATTTTAATTTTAATTTTGCAAATGGCACAGCAGCAACAAGGAAGCAATGCGTTCATGCTGTCCGGGATCCTCGCTTTACAATTTTACTTATTTTGACGATTACTGCATTATCAAATTATGAATGTTTCTAGGGAAAACCTCCTTCAAACCTGAGTTGAAATACCGTATAAATTGCCCTCCTTGGTTCATTATCGTAGACTTAATCGTTCGCCTGTGATTGTCACCTGATAGGTTATGGTGCAGGTCCATATTAATACGAGGACTCTGGCTTCTGCAGTTTGGGATCTGAATTAGCTACGAATTGCTAACTGCTCGTCTGTAGCTAGGTCACCAGCCCCCCTGCTGGGCTAAGCCCCATGCAGCCGTGAAGGCTGGGGTGCCAGCCCTCGTCGAGGCTGGCAATGAACCCCTGGCAGTGGGACGTGAAGCGCTGGGCACACCGAGGCAGCAGACACACAGTTGCCACCTGGGAAGAGCGGTCCCGTTCATGGGGATTCGGGCAGGACCCTGTCCTCTGAGCATATCACCAGAGCTCAGGATTGGGGTTCTCAGCGGGAACTGAGGGAGGGACCAAGGAAACGAGGGGGCAGTTGTGTCCCCAGTTACGGGAGTTGAGCCCTGGTCACTGGTAGTGGAACAAGGCCCCCACTGCCAGAATTTGGTTCAAATTTATCCTTCAAAACTGTTCGCTCAGTGTTGCTTGGCTAGCTTGGCACAGCCTCCAGCTCTGGCCCTGGACTGGGGCACAGCTTGCCCTGAGGCAGCACCTCCTTGCCCCCGCGGGTCAGCTTGCCACATGAGGAAGGGACCGGAGACAGCCCCTGCCCAAGGCAAGGAGCCCCAGCCAGCTGTGTCAGGAGGAACCGGGAGCCAGCTCTGCCGCTGACAGGTAGAAGAAAGATCCCGTGCAAGAGGAGCCCTTGCCAGCCAGGGGACAGGACACTCACACGGGCAGGGACACTGCAGCAGCATAGACAGTTACTGGGACGGGGCGGCTCTCAGGGTGGGGCAGCGTCCCTGGGCAGGGCAACGGGATGGGGCACAGCGGCTGCGATCACAGGCTCCGGGGTGGTCACTTCCTCGCTGGGTGGCTCTAGGCAGTGGTGACTTCTCCCTGTCCCATCTCCGAGGTCGTGAGGAGTGCATGAAGTTGCAGGTGAGCTGCACGTGGATGGCACCCGGGATGGTGTTCCTCCAGAGGAGACTCGAGCACAGCCACTGTCACCAACTGCTGTCACACAGCAAGGGTGGTGGGGACAGGCGGGTCTATTGTGCGTGCCTCCTTCACTTGTAAAGCGCTTCAAGCCGGGCTGGCCTTGGTAGGGGCGGTCTTAAAAAGTGATCGTGAAAAATTAGCAGCCGTCTGGGGCTTCAGAAGCCCCTGCCCAGACGCTGCCACAAAAGCCCATGACTGCTCCCAGTGCAGTCCCCATGGGTGACAGGGGGTGCGTCTGAGGAGAGGAAGGGGCGGCGGCAGTTCCAGGCCGATCCGCTGCAGGCGCGGGGTCCTTGCGTGTCCACATGCCTGCCTCTGACCCCCCAGCCAGACCCCCGACTCCGGTCTTTCCCTGGCCCAGATGTGCCAAGTGCTTGGTATTTCACCATTTGGTCAATCACTTCTGTGATCTTGAAACTCACATTTTTCACGTGATGACAGATGTTAGTTAACTGGGCGATGAGCAGGCCCGCCTGAGAGCCAGCCCGGGGCACCAGAGCCCGGCCGCTGGGGTTCAGGTGGCATCGGCTGGGGCGGGGGAGCGCTTTTTCCTTCTGGGAAGCTGACAGCAACCCCTTTCCCTGTCTACCACCTGTCTTTCTACCATCTGTCCCTCCATCTGTCTGTCCTCTTGCCCATGGTTACATACGTCCTGTGACTTCGGCTCAGTCCTCTGCCTGGCTCTGGGCACTGCCAGGAGGCAGGGGCTGTTCCTCCGAGCTGAGCTGGGGCAGAGGGGGCAGGGAAGCAGGCACAGGGTGCTGCTAAAAGGCTTCTGGATGGTGAGGGGAGACTGAGGCAGACACAGAACGTGAGCACCGACAGGCTTGAGAGGCAACGCCGGGGAGCAGCGGAAGCAGGCGAGCTCTGCCTCTCCCGAGTCCCCAGGACTCTGGTCCTTTGCTCACCGCCAGCCTCTCCTTTTCCAGCCCGGCCACCCTGTCCCCAGCACAGCACCAGGAGTGGGGTTTCAGAAGCTCACCCGCCTGGTCGGGCCTGACCACGTAGGCCTTAGTGTCAGCAGGATTTTAAACTTCAGACCCAGCCCGGGCTTGGTCCCGGCTACCTCCCGTGCTCCTACCTGCTGGCCCCTGAAATGTCGAGCTCAGTGGAGGGAGGTGAGGACCAGGGAGAGGCGGGGAGGGAGGCAGGGTCCTGTCTGTGTGCACGCCAGGGACACCCGGAGAGCAAGACCCCGTGTGGGTCAACCGCGAGTGAGAGATGGCACGGTGTGGGGTGGACAGATGTGAATGGCTGTCCAAGGTAGTGGACAGACAGAAGGAAAGATGGCAGAAGCTGAATCTAACAGAGGGGGAGGTTGTTTCTGAGCAGCACCCACGTGAGTGAGTAAACTCCAGGCATCTCCTGGCCCAGTGCTGGTTTTTATTGCAAGAAGGAGCTCTCAGGTTAGAACAGCAGCACACCCACGGCATTGCTCATGGGACCAGATGGGCCTTTATGAGTGACCTTGTGGCCCCACCACACCCACCTGTCCTAGGTGTCCCTTCCCGGGGTGAGGCCCAGCGCTGGGAGCCACCTGTCCTGGGCTGCTCCGTGCTGCTCTCCTGGTTGCCGCCCGCCGACGGGCCCCTGCCTCCGTCCACGTCTTCGATGTTGCCCCCGCCATGCTGGCCGGCACTGCAGTCCTTCCGCACTCTGCGAGAGGGAGAGGCCTCAGGGATCCCCACCAGCGCTTCTCTCACACCCCTAGATGCCCCAGCACACCCGATCTGAGTCAGGACGGAAGACCATGCTCTCTGGGTGAGTGGCACACCTGGGGCTGGGGTTCCCCAAACCTCGGGGTCTAACAAAGGAACAGACCGCAGCAGGATGCATCAGCTTCAGCCTCCACCTTCCACGAGGACCCACAGCTGTGGAGTCTGCTAAGGACCTCGGCCACCTCCAGGCAAAACTTCTTAGAACTCATCCCAAGTAACAGAGACTTATCACTATGACCAGGTAAGACATGGGCGTAGAGACGTGTGCAGGGGAGTGACAGGGGTTGAACGGTCACTCCTAAAGGCCCATCACCTCGCAGCCCAGCAAGACGCAGGCAGATTCCCAGCCTGTGCAATGATCCAATGAGCCATGAGATGCCACTTGGGAATAGCAGTTTTAACCATAGGAGAAAAAGCTGATCGACTGGGAAATTCTAGCCAGATGGTCGAGCGCTGTCCACACCCCACACCCCCAGGCACAGGGACGGAGCCTCTGTTGTCAAGGCCTACCTGAGCCACTTGGTCCGGAACCACGTCCTAATGCCATCCAGAGTGACCGATCTGCCCCAGACGTCCTTCAGCTGCCTGTGGGTGCCTAGGTAGGACGTGGTCAGCGGGGACACGTACATGGGGTACCCCAGGGGCTGGTCGCAGGAGGAGTTGATCAGGTTGCGCAGGACCTGCTTGTTGTTCTGGATGCTGCCGCGCTCGGGGTTGCGGTTGCGGAGGAAGATGAGCTCCTGCTGCTGCCCGGCCCAGAGTCCCCGCACGCATTCCTTGTTGACCTGCAGGACAGCGACGGGCAGGGGAGAAAGCCAGGGGGCCCTGTGTCCCAGCCTGTTGGCTGCAACCTACAGGGGGTGAGCGGGGCTCTGGGACTGGTGTCGGTGACGGCAGCACTGTGGCCTGACACTGTTTTCACCACCAAGAACGGCGGTCCCATGGCATGGACAGGACGCCACGTTCATGGGAAATGGAGAAAGTAGAAAAAGTCAGCCTTTGTTTCAGCCCAGTGGTTTGAGGCTACGTGAAAAGGGAGTCATTGGGACCACGGCTCATGGATCCAGGAATGCGATATTCGAGAAAGGTCTGGGGTTCCAGAGACTTGAACGTCTTTAGAGACGAGCTAGGTCCTTACCCCATCTCCGTGTGTGTGTCGGGACCTTGTGCCCAAGTCCTTGCCCGCAGGCTGCCCTCCCAGGTGGGGAGTGACCTGCCAGCGGAGCGCAGCCCCTGCCGGCTCCCTGCCCGCCCCTGCTCTCGGGCCAGCACTCCTCTGTGACTGTCCCTGTCACAGGGACTCGTGCAGCTGCTGTACCTTGATCACCTTGAAGCTCAGGAAGCCTCTGTGCAGCATGAGGACCTTGTACTCATCCACACCCTCGTCCACCACGTGCCGCAGCGTGAGCAGCTCCTCCCTGTTGGACAGCACCGCGCCCCTCCAGGCCGGGTCCCCCTCGTGGCAGATCACCACCTTCCCCTCGAAAGACTGGATGGCGTCGTACAGGACCACCGGGTCCTCGTACTCGTCGGGGCAGGTGAACTGGTCCTGGTGGGGAGACGCCCAGGAGTGGCTGTGGGGAGGACCAGAGCTGGTCCCGGGCCAGCGTGCAGATGGGGACTGGCCTGTGACCTCCGGAGCCGAGTCCTCTCCCCACCTCGCTCTCTCCCCTGTCCTTTCTCTGAATCCAAGCTGGGTACAGAGGAAACCTCTTGATCTTGCTGCCCTAACCAATGGCATGTGCCTGGGACAGGGCTTCATGGCTGAGGTCCCTGTGACTCTCAGGTACAGGTGGACACTTCTGACATGTCCTTGTCTCTGGCCAATGTCAGGAATATCCAGACGGCCTCCGTACTTAGTTACCTAAGTAATGAACCACTCACAATGCCTTGTTTTTTTTGTGGGAGAGTGGGTAACGCTTCAGGCTTATACTCTTAAAAAACGGATCTCTGGGGCCGGCCCGGTGGCGCACTGCTACAGTGTGCCGCTTGGGAGTGCGGCGGCGCTCCCGCCCGAGGGTTCGGATCCCACATACAGACCGGTTCCCGCTCACTGGCTGAGCGAGGTGCAGGGAGCAACACCGAGGGTTGCAATCCCGTTGCCGGTCCCGGTCCGGTCCGGTCGCGACACTGAGGGTTGCGATCTGTTGCCGGTCAAGAAAAAAGACAAAAAGGAAAAAAAAAAAGAAACGGGAGGAAACGTTCTCCAAAACGGATCTCTACCTGGTGAAGTTTCAGGGACATCCGCACAGCAGGAGCAACGACTTTGTGCAGCAGGTCCATGTCAGCAAACACCCACTCGTCTCGTGCCGTTATCCGAAAGTCACCTTTGAAGAGGGCGTGGAGACCGTACAGGAAGGAGTCCAGGCTGCAAAACAAAGCCCTGATTACTGTTGACTCGCCCTGAACAAATGTACAGGATCCTGTCACTTGTGCAAGGTTCAGGTCTCCCATTTGTCCAGGTCAAGAGTTACCCTGATGTCCACAGGCTGAGCTGGCAAGGAAAGGAGGGAGACTCTGGGCCCTGGCACCCCAGCACCCAGAGTCCTGGTCCTACGGCCTGTTTTCACCCTGGGGACATGTCTAGTGCCGTGGTGTGGGCGTTATCCACACCCGCATCAGGAGCCACCAAAGCACTTGACCCCTGTGTGTGACGTTAGAGGTCCAGGTGAGAACTTCCTGGCAGGTACGCACTCCACGCTGCAGTCTCAGTGACAGGCGGACCTCTCCCAGTGACCCGCCAGCGCTCCACTTCTCGGGAGCTGACTGTGGACTTGCCCAGGCACCTTTATGTCTCTTCTCTATATTTCTGGATATCCTCTCTGGGCTGTTACTCATAATAAATGGTGGATTCTACCACCATATGGAGAGAGGAAATAAAACCCCAGGAAACCTCAGATTGGTCATTTAGATTCTCAGAGAATATCCACTTCCCAGTCCCGCCTTTTCTTTTCTTTTTCGTTTTCTTTTTTAAAGTTTCCCTTAGAGGACTTTATATCTCTATTTGCACATGGATCATTTATTAAATTAGTAGGCCAAAAAGTAGAAAGATATTTTACAATCGAAGAAAAAGCTGGACACTGGACTCGAGTGAAATCATCGGAAGCACAGGGTTCTGAGACTCGTTCCTCCAGCCTGGTGCAGAGCGGGCGCTCAGCCGTGGAGGCGTCCTCCTGCAGCACAAGAAAGCCCTGAGCACGTGGGAAGACACGAGGCTCTTCCCGTCACCAGTGATGGCCCAGGGAGACTGAAGCCCAGGCTGCACCAGACCCCGCCAGTCCCACCCTGTTTCTGAATGACTAGAGGAAGAGGCACAACGGCGAGGATTAGAGAGAATAGAGAATGAAGATCTCTCCGGATTATCCGGGTTTTCGTGTTTCTGGCTTTTTCCTGCCTTGCTTCTGTTTCCTGCACACAGTGGAGTATCACCTGCATGGAGAACGGGAGTGTCCTCCAGGAAGTCTCTCAGGGCCTGGAGCCTTTGCATTTTGGATGAACACGGGGAACCCTCTGGGAAAGCGACCTCTCCTGCATTCTGGGGAGAGGGAGAGTGGGCCCCTCTTTATTTCTGCTCATCACAGCTGCCTCTCTCAGCCCCGCTGCTACCATCCCTGAGGGTGGTTATGAGGCACAGCACAAGAAACAGCATCACGGACAGGGTGACCCTGGATGGAACGAGCAGGACTGTGCCTGTGAAGGGGATCTCCACAGAAGGCTGCAACGCAGGACTCAGAGCTGGACTCTGAACTCAATGCCGCGCATCAGACCTGCACGCGGGGGAAATAACTCCACGGAAGGCTATTTTAGCATTTTCTAGTGAAACAAGCCACTGTCATCAATTTCCTTCCAGAATCCCCTTGAGAACTACTCCAAGGCTTCGCGTCAGAGCAGACTGTGGGAAACAGGAGCGGCCAGGGGCTGGCCCGGTGGGGCTCGGGTGCCATGGCCTGGAGGAGCCCAGAACCTTCCAGAACGAGATCCAGGAGGCAGCCTTCCAGAGGCTCCCTGGGGCTGTGAGCTTCAGCGGCTACCTGCAGGCATCAAGAAGGGAACTGTGGGACAGCGGAGGCAGGCTGCAGAGGCTGGTGCCCACCTCTGCTCTCCACTGAACATACTGCAAACGCTCCTGCCACCTGATGGGAGCCGGGTACTAAAACGGGAGTGCTGAGTCCTAAGAAATGATGGTGGGAGTTATTCAGGAAAGGTTGGGGATGCCATACTGCTTGCTCAGAATGCCCTGCGTGCACGTAAGAGAAGGGTCCCTCCACGTGTAGGGAGGGGCTGGTGGCAGAGGAATGCTAAGGGGCTTGTCCAGACACCCAGAGCCACGGCCACAACAAGATGCAGGAGCAAGCAGTCCCAGGCTCAGCTGCCACGTGCCTGGCTCATCTGCAGAGATATTTGTCAGCAGGAGAAACTCAGCTTCCACAGGAGCTTCTGACTCCACAGCAGAAACTTTCCCTGTTGTTTCTATCGTGGTGATTTCTGCTGTTCTACTAAAATGATTCTCTACGTAGACAACAAAATCTGAGTCAGAATTCCACTGGACTGGGGGTGTTACTCCCAGCACCTCAAAGATCAAGACATCCCATAACTAGGGTGTTTCATTACCTGCAGTGGCTGTGACGAGCATGGCAGGTCTGCAGGACACCTGCAGCACATGTCTGACTTGGAGCTTCACGGGGCTTTGTCTTTTCAAGACTCTCCTGGGAAACGACAAGCCCCCATCCCCCCGGCCACCAGCTGGAGCTGGGAAACAGTGTTGCCTCTGAGTCAGTCCAGGTGGCCTTCATGGGACTAACACAGCCCCCCCACCCCCCACCCCACCCGGGGATGTCCGTGAGGCAGGCAGCCTGTCACAGAGTGGTCAGCCCTGCAGCCAGCAGCCGGGAGGACCACGTGCAGCTGTGTGGGATTCGTGTGCAGGGAGGCCCCCCAAGGAGCCTGGCACGTGTGTTAGAGAAGCGTGTCCCTGTGTCGAGGACTGAAGACGGCAGCACCAAAATAAGCACGGGCTCCCACGGCACCACCTAAGAGCTAAATATCATAATAAATAAAAAGCAAATAAAAAAAAGCGGTAGAAAAACATCGCTACACCAGGTCAGGACCTTGCATCGTGTGTGTGTGTGTGTGTGTGTGTGTGTGTGTGTGTGTGTGTGTGTGTTTGCTTGCAGCTGGCCAATACAGGGATCTGAACACTTGACCTTGGTATTACAAGGCCACGCTCTAACTATCTATCTGAGCTACCCGGCCAGCCCTCTAGACTCTGATTTCTAAGTTTCCACCTTCAGTCTGGCAAATGGATTTTAATCCTTTTTTCAAGATGATCTGGTAGGATGGCGGGCCCCAGATGGAAGCTCAGGAGAAGCAAAGGCACGTCTGAGGTTTCTGAAGAGCACAATTTTCTCCGTTCCCCGTGGGTGGGAGGAGCGGGCAGATAGATGATCGATGGAGTGACCCTAGGCCACAATGGTGACCTCCTGCCACAGGTGCATGGCAGGGCTTGGCAGAGCATGTTCAGGCTGGCCTGTTTTCCTATCACTTTTCCAGATCAAATCAGCTTTGAAGTGTTCTGTCTTCTTGGAAGCCTAGTCTACTCCAAGAGGCAGTAAATTTTCTTCTGCAAACAGACCTGTTGCTGCTGTGAAAGCTGCCACCTTCTCCTGATCGGCCACCTGTGACTGGAGCACCGGCAGGGATCAGCCTCTTTGTCTTCTCGGGAGCAGCGGTCAGTGCCCCGGGCTCAGTGGAACTGTTTTGACTTCCTACTACAACAGCCTGTTCCCTGTCTATGGCTTCCTTCCGTGGGAGACACAGCCCTTCAAAGAAGATATGCCCCAAACCTCAAGTTCAAAAACTGATCAGCGTTTGCTTGTCACAACCATGTTAATCTATCCCACCTCCGGGACCTGTCAACATCTTATTTCATTTGAAGACATTTTTATATAACTGCATTCTTCTGTCCACCGGCATTCAGCATATCATTTACACTGGTTTTCAGTTTAGTCATCCTTCCTAATTTTCATGCACATATTTTTTCTTTCTCGAGGACCGCCCATCAAAGCAATGCCACTTTCGTCAAGTCAGAACATTTCCTCAATAAACTAATGAAGTGAAGCAGAGCTCGAGGCTTATGCCAGGCCGTGACATAGGACTTACCTAAGGAGATGGTGTTCAAAGTCATCTGTCACTCTCTGACATTAAGTATGTGAGAATGACTTGCCAGGTCTCATAAAGTTCACCCAAGGGCATACTCCTGGTTTTAGAATTATACAAGATGGAGCACCTATGCATACACACACACACACACACACACACACACACACACACACACACAGATTATGTGCCACTTTTATTTGAACATGGATATAGAGCACATATGCATACACACACACACACACACACACACACACAGATTATGTGCCACTTTTATTTGAACATGGATATAATTACACTAAGTAAAATATCAGCAAATATCAGTAATTACACTAAGTAAAGTATCAGCAAATATCAGTAAAATATCATGCCAAGTAGAGCTTATCTCAGAATTGCAAGGATGTTTCAACACGAGGAAATCTCTCAATGTAATCCATTGCATGAATAGATTAAAAAGAGGATAACATCATCTGAATACATGCTCCAAATTTTTTTAAAAAACTCAACATCCTTTCTTGATAAAAGCTTTAGCAAGCTAGGAAGAGAAGGAATCCCTCTGCCTTGATAAAAATGGTCTATTAGAAATCTAAAGCAAAGCTCATTTTTAGTGCTGACATATTAGACTCATTCCCATTAATAACGTCGGATTAAGGCAAGGGTGCTGTGGTGGGCAGAATACTGGCCCCCAAAGATGCCCGTGTCCTAAACCCTGGAAGCTGTGAATGTATTACCTTACTTGGCAAAAGGAACTTTTCAGATGTAAATAGATGGAGGATCTTGAGGTGGGGAGACTACCTGGATTACCCCAATTTTATCACAGGGGTCCTTATAAGTGAAAGAGGGAGGCCGGAGAGGTAGAGTCAGAGAGATGTCAAGATACCAGGCTGCTCACTTTGAAGACAGAGGAGAGAGACCAGGAGCAGAGGAATCTGCACAGCCTCTAGAACAGGGAATGGGTTCTGGCTCAGAGCCTCCAGAAGCAGCGCAGCCCTGCAGACACCTTGATTTTAGCCCAGTGAAACCCATTTTGGACTTCTGACCTCCAGAACAGAAAGATAATGCATTTATATTGCTTTAAATCACTGCGTCTGCAATGATTTGTTTCAGCAGCAATAGGAAACTAATACAGACGCCCACCTGCAGCATTGCGCTGAAGGTCACAGTCAACGTAGTAAGAAAAATAATTGAGTTATCAACATCGGAAAGAAAAAAAGTCAAAATTGTCGTTATTTTCACATAAGTCTTTCCATCAGAAAATCACAGAGAATTAACTGAAATGTTATTATATTGACAGAGTTCAGTATTGGTGCCCAGAAAGAGATCAATCTAAAGAAAAAAACAAACAAAAAAAACTTTCCTATATATCAGAAGTAACCAATGAAGAAATTACAAATTTCTAGAAAATGATAAAATTTTGCTAAAGGGCAATTAAAAAATTGAATGATCAAAAAGATACCCTGTATCATTGAATGGTGTTCACTTTGTTTTCTTAAATTAATCTGGATATTCAATACAATCGCAATCAAAATTCCATCAGAGGTTTTCATGAAATCTGATTCTAAAATTTCAGCACAGGGAAACTTGGCTTCTCTGATGTCAGAACAATGTATCCCTCTAGTAAACCCAACAGTATAGTGCTGTAAGAACAGACAAATCGATCACTTTGACAGGAGCGTAAATCCAGGGGCACACCGTTAATGCACGGGATGTAGTATATGGCAAAAACGGTATTTCAAGGGGCCGAGCCCGTGGCACACTTGGGAGAGTGCGGTGCTGGGAGTGCAGCAGCGCTCCCGCCGCGGGTTCGGATCCTATATAGGGATGGCCGGTGCGCTCACAGCACTCACTGGCTGAGCGCGGTGCGGCCGGTCTCAAAAAAAGGTATTTCAAGCCAGTGGTAGTTTTTACTAACTAACCAGCTAATGATGAGCTTCTTAACAAATGGTGTTGGGCCACGAGCTATCCATCTGGGAAAAAAAATTGGATCTTTGTCTCCTTTTGGATCCCATTATGTACAAAAACAAGATCTATGTGGATGTGTCGGGAGACAGTACTCTCTGGATCTCTCATTCCCCGACGCATCCTCCTGGGTGTGCCAAGAATGTAACGCCCAGGCTGTTTCTCAGGGTACGGTCTGAGGTGACTGTCCTCGAGGGAAGAGGTAACATCCCACTCTGTTATAAAACGGTGGGTCCCCCCAGCTCAGTGTTCTTCAATGGAGAATGGGTGCTCTGAGCCACCCCATGGGACTTGGGGCAAGGGGCACCTATACAGATTTGTTAACGCTCATGCAGTCTGCTGTGCTGGGAGGAAATAAAATCCTCTGTTTTCTTGTTCTCTGCCAGATTCCATGAAATAGTAAAAAGCTAGCTTATTAGCTAATAAGTAGGTTAAAATCAAACCCCAGACCCAAAAGGATTCAAAAACTGAATGTAAAGAAATAAACCATAAAAGTATCAGGGGGAAAAAGAGCTACAGAAACATTTTTAAGAAATGCACACAAAATCCAGAAATTATAAAGTAAAAATTTTAGAAAGATGTCATGAATAAAAGACACATGCAGCTCGGTAGAGAATATTTTAACTCATATAAAAAGGTGTTAATATCTCCGCATGTGAACACCTCCTAAATATCAGTAAGTACTTCACAACAATGGGCAAAGTATATAAATAGACAATTCACAGAAAAAAAAAATAAGTGACCAATAAACGTATAAAAACATTCCTACCCTCACTATTAACAATGGAAATATAAGTTCAGATAAGATCGAGATATGTTATTTCACGCATGAGACTAGAAAAACTTACAAAAGTTGGAAAACTCGGCATTAGTGAAGACAGAGCAGTCGTGGAGACAGTACACAGTGGGGCAGCTTTTTTGGAGAGTTTGACTGCACCTATAAAAATCTGGCTTAAAATTCTTTTTGAGCTCTGGTACCTTTTTTCTTTTCAAGCAAAGTCCCCTATGGAGCCCCAGCATACACAACGTAATGCACAGCTGTTCAGTTGGAGAGAGGCACACAGCTGTTTGGTTGGAGAGAGGCGCACAGCTGTTTGGTTAGAGAGAGGTGCACAGCTGTTTGATTAGAGAGAGGTGCACAGCTGTTTGATTAGAGAGAGGTGCACAGCTGTTCGGTTGGAGAGAGGTGCACAGCTGTTTGATTAGAGAGAGGTGCACAGCTGTTTGATTAGAGAGAGGTGCACAGCTGTTTGGTTGGAGAGAGGTGCACAGCTGTTTGGTTGGAGAGAGGTGCACAGCTGTTTGATTAGAGAGAGGTGCACAGCTGTTTGGTTGGAGAGAGGTGCACAGCTGTTTGGTTAGAGAGAGGTGCACAGCTGTTTGGTTAGAGAGAGGTGCACAGTTGTTTGGCTGGAGAGAGGTGCACAGCTGTTTGGCTGGAGAGAGGTGGGACTGTGCCAGGCTCCTGCCCCCTCTCACTCCGACCCTCCCTGCTCCCCAGGCTTATCCAACCATGTCAGAACTTTACGGACTTCAGACCCAAACCACGAGCCTTGGCATGTAAAAGACGGTGCCTTTTGTAAGCCAGAGACTGAAATGAAAATGCCCCCTGGATTTTGCTATGACGTGGGACCTCTCAGTAAAGTGAACTCGTCCCAGATGATCAAGCCTTTCCCTAGAATACTGAGGGGAAACTTCCCAGATTTATCTCATCACCATGTCTGCAACCAGCAGAGGTGACTTTGAGTATGAGAAACTATTTGAGACAAAGAAAATCCCATCAAAACAAGGTTAAAAAAGGAAGCTGCTAAGCACGGTACTTAATCAGGGGTGGGGTGGGGGGAGACCAAGCCAGAAATGCCTGGATCTGGAATATCCGAACAAGTTATGCAAAGAACAAGACTGAAAAAGTCTTTGAAAATATCTTAGAGGACCTGAAAGAAATATTCGCAGGATTTATTTACAATGTGTAAGGGGAATTTGAAATTTATAGAACACTGCAGAAAGATCAAACAAAAGACCATGCTGTATTGTTTTAACCATCTACTCAGGTGCCATGAATATCTGAAGACTGACTCTGTGATGTCACGTGCAAGATCCCACAAAGTCCTTCTCAGGCACTGTTCTCTACTTCCAGTTCCACAAGCAGCCCCATAGGGGCCCCCACACCCCGTTTCACAAAGTGCACAAATGAGGCATCTCTAGACTTTCAACCATCATCAAGCTTAATCCCGGATGGCCACGTAGGCAGTGGCCTGGGTCCAGCGTGAGGCTGAGCTGGGGGAGGAAGAGGAGGGTGTGGGGACCACTCAGCTGCTCCCCGGGGTATGTGCCTATAACACGACACTTTAGCAGTCAGACACGTGGCATTTCTCGCAAATTGTGGCATGCAGGAGTTGAGAGAGCAGCTAACGTCACAAGTCCTAGCCACCCTCAGTTCTCACCTTTCCCTCTTGGGGACTCCAGGCTACTGCCTCCGAGGAGGACCGGAGAGACCTGCCAGCCTGGACAGTCCCCTGATGAAGATCAGCTCACAGCTGGAAATCAGGAGGAATCAGTGGGAATCACACTGGGAGACAGTCACAAGTCTCCCTGACAGCTCAGGGCTGCAAAGGCCAAGTCAAATATCCAGAGAACCCCTTCTGCAGAGCACCATGTCAACACCACGACACGGGAACACTGAACACCACCCGCGGAGCAGAGACACCGGGCAGGGCGGGGTCCACACAGGAGCCCTTTCTTTCCTGAGCCCCCAACCTCGGCTGCCCACCAAAATCCCCTGGGAGCCCTGAAACATCGTTCTGTGTGATTCCACGCTCAGAGGCTCCTTGAAGTTGCTCTGGACTGGGGTCGGGTCTGGGCATCAAGATATTTAAAATTCCTTCAGGAGATTTTAATGCACATGTGGGCTGAGAACCTCTGATCGAGGCGACTATACAGAGGGGCACTGGCCTGAGCACCATTTCGTTTGTGCAAATGAGTGGCAGAGGGTGACAAGGGGCCAGCAGAGAGTTTAATTTGGTGTGTTCTTTTAGAAGAGAGACTCGGGCTATTTACATACTGAGGGGGCAGATCCAGTAGAGAGGGAATTTGAAAAACAGGAGAAGGGGCAGCCAGTTAATCAAAGCCCCACAGAGACAGGGCAGAGTGGGGTCTGGATGACAGCTCAGATGTGAGGATTTTCTCCTTGAGGAAAAACAGAGAAAGGGAACCAACATTTCTTCAGCATCACCTTTGCTGGGTACCAGGCTAGGCACTTTGCATGCACGATTTCATCGAAACTTCCCAGCAAATCTACAAAGACCTTGGGAACACAGAAGGTCCTACACCCACAGTTCCTGGGTCGTGATTCTTCCATATTAATGATATTTCCAAATCTAATACTCCAGAGATCACAGTAATCAAAAAGGTCTTGCATGACTTATTATGGAAAGAACTATCTGGAAGAAATATGATCAGTCCAACTTTAAGATAAAGAAAATGATGGACACAATCTGTCAAAATGTGAGATGTGGGTTTGTACACAGGAAATGCCCATGTCCCCCGGTACCTGATGGCCATGTTGTGAGCTGCTGCTGCCAGAGCTCTCCTCCCCAGGATGCACAGGGCAAAGGACAGTGTCACCAGAGCGGAGTCCTCGTCACAGTCCAGGGTCTGTGAAGGCTGAAAGAACACAGATAGTCATGGCTTGCACACGGGCTCCGCCACATACAGATGCAGAATGTGTAAATGCAGCTAGAGGAGGCTGGCTGAGTCAGTCCCCTCTGCAGTGGCCCCGGGGAGGCGGATCTCTCTGTCCCCTGAAGCAGTTTCTCTTCTGGTTGGGTGTGGAAAAAAACTAAAATGGGAAAGTTGCTTTAGGAGAGAAAAGGGACTAACACGTGGTTTGATGAATGAATTTTCTGGGATGGTCAGAACTTACAGTCACACAAATGCCCCCCTTAGCACTATGCAGTGCAGGGGACAGGCAGGGTCTAGCAGGGGGAGAGAAAGTACACGAATCTGGTGCAAACGAGGGTCTCTGCCCCCCCCCCGGATTGAATTGACCACAGCCAACAACTAAATTGAAAGAGCTGTCCAATGTCAGCTGACAAACGGGGAGAGGGGAGTGCGCAAGAGATTTAAAGTTGAAATATCTTTTGCAAGAAAAATGCGATAATTTCATGAGCCAACTGAGGACAGAGCGAGCCGTCCTAGCCGCAGCCAAACACACCATCAGGTTCTTTGCCCATCTCGGCCACCTGAACAGGCCGTGGGGGGGAAGGTGACCACGCACGTTCTCCTCGGCTTGCCTGGAGAAAGCGGGGTCGGCTGCTTGCCTTTTCTGCCCCCTGTCTTTAATGACTCATGGAAAGGTCGGGCACCTGGGCTGGCATCATGGTTGGGCTCTGTCCCTACAGGACAAACCACATACTCCATCCGCTACCGAGGGAGTTGTTTTCAACTCGATTGGCTTCCCAAATCCTGAGCAGCTTTGCTTCCCTCCCTTTCCCATCTTCCTCCACCTCCTTTCTTTTGTAATCTGTCATCCTTCCTGGTGTCACTTCTAACAGGCAGAAATGTCCCCTGCACATGAGCAGTAATGGCACAAGAAGTAACCTGGACCATCGGATTGCTAAAGAGACTTTGCACGTCCACGATACAATATGTTCAGTAAATGCTCCCGATATCAGCACGGACACACTTTGTACAGTAATCTCTAAATGTAACTTCAGACAAAGAAGTTTCCAGTGTTCTAAAGCTATCATAGAGGCTTAAAATTGCACTGATCCTGACCAGAGGATAAAAGGACACAAACAAGGGTAAAGATGATACAAATCTATCCATGAATTCTGCAGGACCCCTCGTATCCCTTTCAGGATGCATATTAATTCACTGATTTAATTTTGTTTAACTGTTAAGTAAACACTTATCCAAACACGAGTGACTTTTCTTTCCTCTGTTTTACTGCAGTCTGCCGTGGAGTATAAGAAAGAAATGGATGGTACAAGGTCCCTTGTTTTATAAACCTGCATTCCACGTCCCCAGCCCCCACCTCTGTCGCCTACCTCCTGTCTCTTCCGAGCGCAGTACTGGATCCACTCTAGATACACGTTGCAGAAGCTGGCACGTGTTATCCCCTGCAGGCACGGGACGTAGTCATCGTCGATGTTAATGTTCAACATCGCAAGGTCACGCTCAATGTAATGCCACTTGGCAAAGGGTTGCAGGGACTTCAGAAGCGATTCATTTTTGATCCAGGAGAGGAGTTTGGGGGATGTTACCATATAGTATATTATGCTCTGCAGAGAGAAAGCAAGATGCTGAACTCTTACAGCCATTCGAAAGCCAGGAAGACTTTATAAAAATTATTAAATCCCACAAAATACATCAACTTTAGGAAAGTATGAGACATGAAATCCCTGCATGTGGTATCATGGTGTTTCCTGTTAGGTGTGATGCATAGAACCAACTTTTGGGACCTTCTAGAATGTCCTCTCTCAAGGGTCATGGCAGGGAAGAGGCATGTGAGAAAACTATAATTCCAGCACAATGAAACAGCACAGAGCTTCCGTGATGTGGAACGGGGACAGCAGCCCTACCCTTTCCAAGAGAAGCCCACAAGTCACCCTGTGTGCTTGGGTTGCTGCAGGCCTCCAGGGATGCCAGGCTGGGCTGGTCCAGTGGGCAGACCCTGTGCCAGGACCCTGGTCATAGAGCATTTAATGAACTGAAACAACCCGTTTGTTATGGGAACTACCAATGATGTAAAATGGTCGTCGCACACAAACTCGATCCTGAGTGCCCAGTGACATCTGTGGTGCACTCAAAAATAACCCACCTTTCCCCCTTAAGCAGACACTGTCCTTAAGCATCCCAATGGGGGAAAATGCCTCTCCTGGGCTTTATCATCCTGAGTCACAGCTTATTGAAAGCCATCCTGGAGTTTTCAAATGAATCCATCCTCCCAAAAAGACTGGTGCCTGGCCTCGAGAAGTAAAATATGGGACAGAGAAGATGAGAATCCAAGGCTGACGGGGGCGCATCGGCCACAGAGCAGCGTGCACTGCTGAGGAGTCACTTCCAACACTCGCGACATTGTCATCATCATAGAAAAATGATGAAGTGGTTGGGGGGACCCGGGACATGGCGGCGCATCTCATCCTGCAATCGCAAGGGACGAGGGGGTGTTTGCGGGGTCTGACACAGGGAGGCCGAGACGCGTGCCCTCGTCGGGATCAAACACTCGACTGATGGCCTCCTCCGTTTACAGAAACACAGTCTTTCCAAGTGAGAAAAGAGAAGGGAGGAAATGCCGGATGGACGTGAGCCTGCAGGAAGCCCTTTCCCAGGGCGTGCCCCGCCCCTCCCTCCTACTCTTTGGCTGGGAAATGAAGTC